GAAATGGCCAATGTTTTGCTATACTTTTCTTCTGTCATAGGCAGTAATATAATTAAGGCAATTTAAAAAGGTAACAGAAAAATTAAAAATGAAAACTTTTCATGTTGTGGGGATAGGGAAAAGTCCAAGTAGTTCCTGCCATATTGCTTTCTTCCATGGTCACAGCAAATTAATAGCCATCCCTAAAAGGATGCTCAGTGAACCTTAATGGAAGTTCAACTACAGAGGTGGGGGGTGGAGGGGTGGGGCATGTCTGTCTCAGAAAAGGTGATTTCACATTTGTTGGTGGGAAAACCAGGAGAGGTAATGTGCCATGGGGAAAATGCTTAACATTGTATAGTACACAAACCAGTGGGAGACCACGCCCTGTGTTATATTCCTAATCAGGAACTTTGGCCAAGTTTCTATCCAGCTGCTGTTGACCGGGCCACATGCTATTCAACTGGGACTCTGTCCTCTCAAGGTGCATACTATCCTTCATAGGCAGCGCCCAAAGGATCCTTTTGGAAACCCTTTTAAATGAACCGGATTTTACCTTAAGCCTCTATCGCAGAGCAAAGGGACTGAACAATCCCTGGGACTAGCTAAGGCTGAAGCGCCCCTGTGTGAGAAGAAACAGATAACTGCTATCCCAAGCTTGTGGATTTGGAAGTCGTCGGACTTTGCTTCAGATATTCAACTTTGAGGGTGCCCAGTAATTGGCAATTTAAGATTACTATGTATTTGCTGTTTTCATAATCTCTTTGCTTTTGTATGACATGTCTTAATCCAACATACTTCCAACATACTTAATCCAGGCATGCTTCTGCCTTAGTATTATTGAAAGTTTTGCCCTGTCACCAACCCTCATTGTTTTTGTTGCTAGTTTCCAGTTACTTAAATTTTAATCTGTACAAGTCAATAATCTATGTCTTCTACTTTAAAAAGCTATCCTACATATACCTACTTTTCTCATAGTATTTTAAGTTTATGTCATTGGTAAATTAATGATACAATTAGTAAAATTACCCCATGCCCCATGGGGATTATTTATAATCTTCCCCAATAAAAGGACATTGCAGTCTCTAAAGTGGACCAGGGACATTAAAAAAAGAAAGGTAATTCAGTAGGGAAAGGATAGTCTTTCCAAGAAAAGATGCTGCAACAATTAGATGATACCCATATGCTTTGCCGCCCCAAGAGAATTTGATCCATTCCTTGCGTACTGCCGTCAAGGTCTAGTCACTGTGACCCTGAAGTGAGAGTAGAACTACCTCGTGGGTATTCGAGACGAAATCTGTATGGGAGTAGAACGCCTCCTCTTTCTCCCACAGAGTGACGGGTGGTTTTGAATTGCTGCCATTACAGTGAGCTTCTCAATGCATAACCCACTATGCCATCGGGGACAGCTTTTGGAAATATTCCTTCATTATTTCTTCGATAACATTCTCTTGTCTGCCAGGCTCAGAAATTGGATATGAGCATTATAGAAGATACAGGTGCGCTAGGGAAGGGGAATTGTTCAAAGTTCCCAGTCGATGACTTCCATCCGGAGCAAAAGATCACAGCTTTCCAGTCTCCCAGGGTGGTGGGAAAAGTAGTCTGAAAGCAGTCAGATCAGCTAATAGCAGAGGAGGGCTGCAGTGAGAGTGAAAGGCAGGGAACGAGTCGACAATCTATTCTGCCGCGTGTTCTTAAGTATCGGTGGTTGGGTTTAAGTCATTCCAGGCAGGAACTTAAAAAAATTATTCTCTGGGGGAATGAAATCATCCCTTAGAAAAGCTCACTCAGTTTTCTGGCTAACCTCGTAATTGTGCCCTCCAGTGAAACCACTGTGGCAGATCATGTACACTAAGCTCCCAAACTTCCTTTATTCCTTAATATGAATGACTAACTAACGAGCTGCAGGCATTTGAGAAAGGTCTTCAATATGGAGGAGGAAGTACAAAACAGAAGGGGTGCTCAGTAGAAATGTGGAAATATAAGAAGATTTTGCATCCAGGAAACAAATACAAGTTTCCATAAAAAAGGAAAAATTAAGAGAAGAAGAAAGAGTCTGTGAAATTAAAGTTTTGAAAAAAATTTTTGATAGAAAAACTTAAAAATGTTATTAGATGCCTTAGAGTTGGTTCCAACTCATAGCAACCCTGTGTCTGTGCAGTAGGCCGAGACACCGTGCTCCCGTCACAGTCAGTCCCGTGTTTGAGCTCACGTTGCAACCACTGTGTGTCCAGGTCATTGGAAGTCTTTTTCTCTGACTTTACCAAGCATGATGTCCTTCTCCAGGGAATGGCCCCTCCTGAGAACATGTCCCCAGAATGTTAAACGAAGTCTGGCCATCTTCACTTCCAAAAAGCATTCTGCCAGAATGCTATACATATATACATATAAATACATATGCATGGGACCTATATATATAAATACATATGAATGGGTAATATTCTTATATTTCTCAAAGGCAGAATTAGAAGCTAAAAGGCAATGAAGCCTCCACAATTCTAAAAGAAAAATAATTTTGAACTTACAGTTCTACACAGAGCAAACTATCGACAAATGTGATTGCAGAATTAAGATAAGTCAGAATTTGAAGGCATTTACCTCTCAGGAAACTAGTGAAGGATGTGTTCCATCCAGCTAAAAGAGATGGAGATGTGGAACCCAGAAGACAGGGCTAGTACCACAGGAAGGAGATGGAGGGATCTCTCAGAGGGGGACGATGAAGGATCAAGCATCAGCTATGAGGAAAGACTGAGCTCTAGAAGGGAGGTCCCAAGGGAGAAAATGAGACAATTTAAAATTTGACAGATTTTATAAGTGAGGATTCAGAAGAGTATTGTAGAGAAGACTTGGAGTATATTACAAAAAAGCACCGAAGTCAATGGAAACCCCTAACTTTGGGGAGGCAACGGGAAAAACGTAAGGAAGGACATTAAAATATGTATTGTCACCCTAGGAAGTCAGTTGATTCTATTTTATGTTTACCTCTTTTTGAGATTTCATAGAAGTGAGAATATACAGTATTTGTGGTTTTGGATTAATTTATTTCACTCAGCATAATGTCCTTCAGATTTATCGACATTTCAAGATAATCTCAAGAATTCATTCGTCTTTGGACTGAGTTGTAGCCACTGTATGTAGGTGCCACCTTGTGTTTATCCTTTTCTTTGCTGTTGAGGGCTTAGGCTGTTCCTGTGCGATGAACTTCTCACTTTTCTTTGCTGTTGAGGGCTTAGGCTGTTCCTGTGCAATGAACTTCTCACTGCCATGGGGTCGATTCCGACTCATAGCAACCCTATAGGACAGGGTAGAACTGTCCCTGTGAGTTTCTGAGATTGTAACACTTAAAAGAAAATTTATGAGACTGTAAGTCTTTACAGGAGTAGAAAGCCTCATATTTCTCCTATAGAACTGCTGGTCATTTCTATGCCAGCAGGGCGTCTGCAGTCAACATAGGTGTCCATAGGTGTGCATCTATCATTTGTGTCACTTCTATTAGATCCTTAGGTTATATTCCTAATAGCAGACTTGCCAGGTCATGTGGTAATTCTATTGATAAGCTTTTAAGTGGCTTATTCCTCAGAAATGGACAGCTTATTCCTTCTTCATAGTCTGTTTTTCGTTTGGAAGCTCTGTTGAACCTCATTTTACTTTGAGTGACTTTGCTGATATTTGAAATACCATTGACCATAGCTTCCAGCAGCAGAGCAGCACACAAGCCCCAATGTGTGACAAAGGGATAGACTAATACATGACTGTCCAAAGAACAAACAAACCTCTCTTGGAAGGACAGCCAGAAAGCTCCTTAGAAGCAAGGATGGCAAGACTTCAGCTCATGTACTTTGAACATGTTATCAGGAGAGATCAGTCCCTGGAAAAAGACATCATGCTTGATAAAGTAGAGGGGCAGCGAAACAGAGGAAGGCTCTGAAGGACATGGCTTGGCACAGCGATTGCAGTAATGAGCACTGAATGTCTTTCTATCTCTGTAGCTCTTTAGTCTCTTTCTGCATGCTTTATCATTTCCATGATATAAAGCATTCACATGCTTGGATGGATTTATTCCTAGGTATTTCTTAAATGCCATTTTGGAGTTGTTTTCAGTTAAATTGGTAAATCAACAGATAGTGGTATTGATGTTATTTACACGACATATTCCAGACAAATCCTCTTGAAAGCATTTTCAAGTGGGTGCCTCTGGGGTATGTGTGTGTGCTATTAGATAAATTCATAAATGTAATCAAATGGGGAGGCTAAAACTAGGGAGCTAAGTGCCCATATGTGGCAATTGTGGGAAGACTATTTAGTATCTGTTTCCAAAAATGTCTACTCCCCCTTACTAGGAGCTCAGTGCCCCTGAAGTCTCTGTCTTCCCTTAGCTCCTGGTAGCCAGATGTATAGTTTCTATACATCTGCCTCATCTAGATCATGTAAGTGGGGTCATATAGCACCTCACGTTTTGTGTCTGGCTTTTTTTTCACTCAGAATAATGTTTTAAAGGTTCATTCATGTCATAGCATGTATCAGGGCTTCATTTCTCTTCATGGCTGATTCATATTCCATGATCCACACCACATTTTGTTTATCCATTCATCTGTTGATGGACCCATGGGTTAGGTCCACCTTTGGGTGGTGGTGAACAGGATGGCCTGGAACATTGGTGCACATATATCTGTTTGCTCCCCTGCTTTCATTTCAAGTATTTGGGGTATGTAGCTAGGAACAGAGTTGCTGGGTGAGAGTGTAAATCTGTGCCCAGCTCTCAGAGGGAGCTTCATTTCATTTTAATTAAAATGAACAAATATTATGCATTAAATGCCTGGTGCTGCTCACACACTAGGGTGCTTGGATGGGAAGTCCTCTAACTATTCTCTGGTAGGATGAACTGGGTTTGTCTCACCTAAGTTCTCGCCTTTTCCTCCAAGCTGGATTTAAAAAAATGTGAGCATTTTCCCTGTGTTGGACTGGGGAGGCTGTTGAGGAGAGCGAGCGAGGTTCTAAGTCCCACTTGTTTCTCTGTTCAGAACATGAATGGCTTTGAGGAAGGCGTGGAGTTTCTGCCAGTCAACAATGCGAAGAAGGTGGAGAAGCGGGGTCCAAGACGCTGGGTGGTGCTGGCAGCCATCATCATTGGCTTTGTCCTGCTTTCTCTTCTGACCTGCGTCCTGGTGTGGTACTTCCAGTGTGAGTGGGACTGGGGACGTTGGCTCTGGGGAAGGCAGTGTGGGGTGGCCGTACCCTTTACTGTGATGGCTGTGCTCCCATCTGCTTGATGGCCTCCACCTGTTTTCTGACGGGACACCACATGAAAGAGAAAGCAGGGATGGGGGAGGGGAGGAGAAGGCTTTAGGCACTCCATCTCGCCTGCTCCTTTGAAGGTGTAAGGAGAGGGCGAGAGACGTTGGCCGGAGCTGGTCAGTAGGTTCACCCGCCCACTTGTCACCTACTGGCATTCACCCTTCCTGGGAGCTAGGAGGTTATGGGAGGGAGAGATTGGTCCCACTTCCTCTGACGGCTCCCTTTTCTGGGTCTTGCCCAGACTGGAATGTCCGGGTCCAGAAGGTGTTCAATGGCCACCTGAGGATCCGGAATGAGAACTTTGTGGATGCCTACGAGAACTCCAACTCCACCGAGTTTGCACACCTGGCTCACAAGGTGAAGGAAGCGGTGAGTCTGATGGCTGAGCCCTGCCTCGTGCCCTGGTATCCCCATCTCTAGTTTCTGTTCATCTTTTGTCCCAGACCCCTGTGCTGGGAGTGTGATGGTGTGGGGAGGGAGAGAATCGCTGCCCAGTCTTGGTTTGCTATGAGCTTCGTCTCTACCCTCAGCTGAAGCTGCTATACAGTGAAATCCCTGAGCTGGGTCCTTACCACAAGCAATCAGCAGTGACTGCCTTCAGGTAGGTGCTACAGGGAAGGCTGTGCTATTCCTTGAGAATGGAAACAGGTTGGGAGCTATGGGACTCCCATTGTTCTGGCCTTTTGGGAATGGGATTGGGTGGAGGAGTACAGGAAGGCAAATACCTTGTAATTTGCGAGGTGGTGACGCTGCGAGGCCCTGGCTTAGACCCAAGATCCAAGTCCCTTTTCTGCCTTGTAAGCATGCTACTTAGCACACTTAGCTGTTTTGACTCTTAAATCGGGAATAATGATAGTGGTGTTACCAGGACACACTGTGGCAAATGTGGGTAACCCGCATTGCACAGTGCCTGCCATAGAACCGCACTCGATCCTGCTAGCTATGATTTGTTTTGCAGACTCGAGTGTGAGGGAGTTGAGGTCCTTAAAAAGGCTTCCATGTGCCCTCATGTTTTCCTTGCTCGAGCGTCTGTATTAATAACTCATTCCTGTAAGGCTTCCTGGTTTTCAAAAGGACTTTAAATATTGTTCGTTCACCTTAAACCTCACTAATGCCACGTGGTCATCCCTTTTCTCAGACCAGTGACAAATTCAGGAAGGTGGTACTTGGCGAGCCCAAGTGAATGGTAGAGGCCAAGTCCAACCCTAAACCTCAGTTGGCCCTAGAATATGTATGTATGTCTGCTGGAGGCAAGGGTGAGACTGATGGAGCAGAGGGTAAAGGGGCGAGATCTCTTGCGTAGAATATCAAACAGTAGATAAGAATAAGACAGAATTTGGGGGGACACGGACTTGTGTGTGTGTGTGTGTGTGTGTGTGTGTGTGTGTGTGTGTGTGTGAGACTCAAGCTGGTTTGTGGCTGGCCTGAGCTGCCAAGTCTGTGCTCCTGGCAAGCAGAGGGCTGTGAGGGGCGTGGAGGAAGGATGAGCCCAGCGCACCAGCACCCAGGCTGTTCTCTCTCCCAGCGAGGGCAGCGTCATCGCGTACTACTGGTCGGAGTTCAGCATCCCGAAGCGCCTGGTGGAGGAGGCCGAGTGTGCCTTGGCAAAGGAACGCGTGGTCACATTGCCGCCTCGTGCACGAGCGCTCACCTCCTTTGTGCTGACGTCCGTGGTGGCCTTCCGTGAGTCCGTGTGGGGGTGGGGGGCAGCAGTGAGGAGACTGGCAGGGCGGCGGCCAGTTGTTCATGGAGTGGCTCTAGGCTCTGACCCTTCCATTAAACTGAGGCGTGGAGGTGGAAACACTTGTTGAGTCAGGTGCTGCTGTACTGGTGCTTCCTGGTAGGACAATTAAACAAAAAACTCACTGCCATTGAGTCGATGCTGACTCAGAGCAAGCCTGCAGCCAAGGTAGAGCTGCTCCTGTGAGTTTCGAGACTGTTCCTGCTTAAGGAAATAGAAAGCCCTGACTTTCTCCCATGGTTTCGAACTGCGGGCCTTGCGCATCACAGCCAAATGAACGCATAACCACTGTACCACCAGGGCATCTTGGTAGGGCAATATGAAAGCAGAAATAAGGCACTAGACACTAATAAATTCTTAATTCCCCCTTCTGTTGTTCAGCCACTGACCCCAGAACCATGCAGACGACCTGGGACAGTAAGTACATCTTTCTTTCTCTGCTTCTGGCTAATGGGTGGCAGGTGGAAGTTAAGGGGCCCAGAAATCCAGCAGTGATAGTCAGTACATCTCTCTACCTCTTCCAGATCCTTCTGAAGTCCCCTCTTCACATCCCCTGTCCAGCTAGAGTGGCCCCTGGGACAGCCGGGAGGGCACCCTCTGCATCTTGGGAGCTCTGCTCCACAACTTCTTGTGCTCTTCTTCACAGACAGCTGCAGTTTTGCCCTGCATGCCCGTGGCAGGGAGAGGACTCGCTTCACCACACCTGGCTTCCCTGACAGCCCCTACCCCGCCCATGCCCGCTGCCAGTGGGCCTTGAGGGGAGATGCTGACTCCGTGCTAAGCCTCACCTTCCGCAGCTTTGACCTTGCACCCTGTGATGAACGGGCCAGTGACCTGGTTGCAGTCTATGACAGCTTGAGCCCCATGGAACCCCATGCTGTGGTGCAGTGAGTGTGGCGGTTAGGGTGGTGGCGGCGGGGCCACTTATGGGACCAGGCATCCTGAATGAAGTGCAGTGTGGAAATACCAGGGTTCCATTTGACATTTGGGCTAGCCGTCTAATACTTAACTCGACAGCACTGCCCAAGTTCCTGCAAAGGCAACCAAAGGAGGTTCTACATTCTAAGGCGCCTCTACACCAGTGGTTCTCAATCTTCCTAATGCCGAGACCGCTTAATACAGTTTCTCATGTGGTGGTGACCCCCTGGCCATAAAATTATTTTAGTTGCTACTTCATAACTGTAATTTTGCTACTGTTCTGAATTGGGTGTCTCCTGTGAAAAGGTCACTCGATGCCCAAAGGGGTCACGACCCACAGGTTGAGAACCGCTGCTCTACACCCATCTCTCTGTAGTCAAGGTCTGGGGGTCTTTGCTCATCTTACATACCTTGACCTTGAGTCCTGTACTGAACTGACAGCTCTTAAAAAATCTGTCAGTGTGTTGTACTGTGGTGGCTTGTGTGTTGCTGTGACACTGGAAGCCGTGCCATTGGTACTTCAATTATCAGCAGGGTCACCCGTGGTGGACAGGTTCAGTGGAGCTTCCAAACTAAGATAGGCTAGGCAGTAAGAAGAGGTCATCATATTTGAAAAGGTAACCTCCCCAAATCTTAAGGAATAGCAACGGAACATTGTCTGAAACAGTGCCAAAAGATGAGCCCTTCCAGGTGGAAGACACTCCAATTGTCCTGGGGAAGAGCCTCCTCCTCTGTAATGGCAGCGTCACTGTGTGCGGGTGGAGCTAAGCTTTTAAGACCTTCATTGGTTGATGTGACATAACTTAGAACAAACATCCACTGATAATCAGAACATGAAATGTACAAAGTGAAAATTTAGGAAATTGAAAGTCAAAAGTAAAATGGAGGGACCCCTTCTCAGGGGGATGGACAACAGAAAAGTGGGTGAAGGCAGACAGCAGTTGGTGTAAGACATGAAAAAAAATTAATACATTATCAAGGGTTAATGAGGGAGGGAGGGAGGAGGGTGGAAAGGTGAAATAAGGAGCTGATATCAAGGGCTCAAGTAGAAAGGATATGTACAAATGTGCTTGACACATGGATGTGTGTATGGATTGTGGTAAGGGCTGTAAGAGCCCCCCAAAAATGATTAGAAAAAAAAAAGTAAAATGGAGGGAAAAAAGAGGACCTGACACCAAGGGCTCAATAGAAAGTAAATGTCTAGAAAACAATGACGACAACAAATGTGCTTGATACAATTGTTGATGTGTGGATTGTTATTAGAGCTGTAAGAGCCTCAATAAAATGGTTTTTTTTAAAGTAAAATGGAATGCATGAAGACTGATATCCTAGAGATTAGTGAGCTGAAATGGACCATTGGAATCAGACAGCCAAAGTCTACTCCGCTGGGAATGACACATTGTAGAGGAATGGGGTTGTACTCAGTGTGGAAACGAACATTCCAAGATCTATCCTGAAATACAAACACCGTCAGTGATGTGCTAATATTCACATGCCTACAAAGAAGATCAGTTCATATGACTATTATTCAAATGTAAGCACCAATGAAGATTTTTATCAATTGCTCTAGTCTGAAATTGATCAATCATGCAGTGAAGATGCATTGATGATAACTCTTTTTTTTTACTTGTAGTGTAACAGATATATAATTTATATATATGATTGTAAGGTTTTTAAAAAAATCATTTTATTGGGGGCTCGTACAACTCATCACAATTCATACATACATTCATTGTGTTAAGCACAATTGTACATTTGTTGCCATCATTCTCAAAACATTTGCTTTCTGCTTGATCTTTTTGTATCAGCTCCTCATTTTTCCCTTCCCTCTCCACTCCTCCCATAATAACTCTTGATAGGAATATGAAAATGGAAACAGGAAGGATCAGCCGTTGGAAAATAGGGACTTTGGTAAGAGAAACAGCATCAGACGTCATATGCTAAACTTCTGTAAGGTGAATATCTTAGTCATTGCAAATTCCGTTTCTCAGCAATGGTAAGTGGTCACTAGACATACGGACCTCTACCGGTCGGAATACAAAAGAATCAAATGGATGACGTCAGGGGAATGAGAAGATGGGGGCACTCCATATCATCAGTCAGAACAAAGCCAGGGGTCGACTACAGAACAAACCATTGATGGCTATTGTGCAAGTTCAGCTTGAAGCTGAAAAAAATTACAACCAGCCTTTGAACGCCAATACGCACCCTTGAGTAAATACTGCTTGAATTTAGAGACCACCCCAAGACCAGATTTGACACATTTAATGCTAATGACTAGATGGTTGCATCCTTTCAGTATCCCCCCAGGCAAGTTGTGGGATGACATGACATCAAAGATATCATAAAGAAACCAAAGGTCATTAAAAAGAGACAAAGAAAAGACCAAAAAGGATGGCAGAAGAAACTCTGAAACTTGCCATTAAACAGAGTAACTAAAGCAAAAGGAAGAAATGAAAGAGATGAGCAAATTTCAAAGTGGACTTAAGAAAATAAAGTATTATAATGAACTGTGCAAAAGACTTAGAAAACTGCAAAGAGCGAGGAAACCAAAAGGAAGAACAAACCTAGCACTTCTGAGGCTGAAAGATATTCAAGTTGTGAAATTGAAGGATTCTCTGGGTACACACACACACACACACACTGGACAATACGGGATGAAGCATCAAAAGAAGGTGGAAGAAACGCAGTTACCTAACCTAAAAGAATTGGTTGAGATTCAGCCATTTCAGGAAGTAATAGATGATGGTACTAAAAGAAACTCAACTTGCTCTGAAGGCATTGGTAGAAAGCAAGATTCCTTGCATTGATAGAATACCATGAAATGTTTCTGCAAAGAGAAAACGGTGCTAGTGGGGCTTGCTTATCTATTCTAGAAATTTGGACGATAACTATCTGGCCAGTTGACTGGAAGAGATCTATGTCCATGTGAAAAGAAAAATAATCTAACAAAATGCGGAAATCATTGAACAATATCGTTAACATCATGCGTAAGTAAAATTTGCTGAAGATAATTACAAAATGAATACTGCAGTATCTTAAGAGGGAGCTGCCAGAAATTCAAGCTGGATTTAGAAGAGGGTGTGGAATGAGAGATTTCATTGCTGATACCAGATGGATCTTTCTGAAAGTAGAGTACCAGAAAGATGCTTGCCTCCATTTCACTGAATAGTCAAAGGTTTGACTGTGAATCACAACAAATCATAGATAGCATTCTGAAGACAGGGAGTTCTGGAACACTTAATTATAATCATGTCGCGCCTGTACATAGAGCAAGAGGCAGCCATTCAAACAGAACAAGAATATGCTGCATGGGTTAAAGTCAGAAAAGGTGTGTGTCAGGGTTGCATCCATTCACCACGTGTATTCATTCCGTATGCTGAGCTAATAATTCGAGATGCTGGACTATAAGAAGAACGCGTTAGGATTGGAGAAAGACTCATTAGTGACCTGCACTAAGCAGATAGCACAACTTTGCTGAAAGGAAAGAGGAAGCCCTTACTGATGGAGATCAAGGACTACAACCTTTAATATGGAGTGTACCTTAACATTTTAAAAAGCAGTAGTGAAAGTCCTCACCACTGGACCAACAGGCAGCATCACGATGAATGGAGAGAAGACTGAAGCTGGCGAGCACTTCACTTTACTTGAATGCACATCAACATTGTAGAACCAGCAATCGGGAAATCAGAGGACGCATCGCACGGAGCAAGTTTGCTGCACGAGGCCTCTTGAGAATGTGAAAGCGCAAAGATGCCCGTTGAGTCAGCTGCACCTGACGCTGTCAGCGGCCTTACGTGCGCAACAGTTGGACGCGAATGTTGCACTAGAGTGACGTTGCTGGTGAGGAATACTGAAAGTAGCATGGACTGAACAGATCCATTTGTGTGGGAAGAAAGACTCAGCATGCTCCTCAGAAGCAAGTCAGGTGAGGGAGGCTTTGTCTCACATGCTTTGGCTTGTTGCCTGGAGAGACCGATCCCCGGCGAAGGGCTCTGGGCAAAGCAGACCGAGGCCCATCCGGATGAGATGGCTGGGCGGTGGCTGCCATAGTGGGCTCAGACATAGCAACCACGAGGACAGGATGGCATCGGTGCTTCATTCCGTTGCATATGTGGGGTTGCTTTGAGCTGTAACATACCCATGGCATCTCCTCCACAGCATGGAACAACCACGACTGTTGGGCATTTAATGTGCCTAAGGCTTTGCGTTTTTAAAGACAGACATAAACGGTGTTAAAACTAAATCCTTACTAACCCTCTCAATAAAGAAACAAGTTTACAACAGTTAAAAAACAACAACAACAAAACCCAACTAAATCCTTACTTCCTTGATTGCTTGTGGGGGAGGGGACCTCCTTAAAGATCCCTTTAGTCATACCCTTGGCTTTTTGTGGCTGGAGCACTTAAAAGACATCTTAACTAAGAATTACAAATTTAAGTTAAAAGTCAGCTTACAGCTTAAACCCAGCGGGACAATGAGGTGAATGAAAATGTGGACAGGAGACCGGCTTATCTGCACAGTGGCAGCGACCCCAGCCCCCACAGCTCTCCTCTGTCGCCGGACAGCTCTACTTCGACATTGTTTCCAGGCAGATCCCCGTTGCAGAAACATTAACATGTGGGACGTATCTTGAAATTACAGCAGCTCAGTGCTGCTGCTGTCTGGTTGGCTAGCGCAGAGCCGCACCTGGCAAGCTGCTGCTCTGCTCAGGTTATAGGGATGACTGGCAAGGGCTGCGGCAGGCAAGGACTCAGACAACCTTCTGTGGTCTCTGCCCTTTGGGTCCCCTCTCTGTATTGGGGGCAGACAGGTTTGTGACAAGTTCAGGCTCCATCTGTTCTCCCTAACACCTGCCTCCCTCTGCCTACCCCACAGGCTGTGTGGCACCTACCCTCCCTCCTACAACCTGACCTTCCTCTCCTCCCAGAACGTCTTTCTTGTCACACTGATCACCAACACTGAGCGGCGACATCCCGGCTTTGAGGCCACGTTCTTCCAGCTGCCCAAGATGAACAGTAAGGAAGGGCAGGGTGGGTGGGGCTGTTTGCTAGAAGGGAGGGGGACCTTAGAGGGTGACCTGGCCCTAAGGACTACAGATGTCCAGTGAACTAACTCAGGTCAGCGGCAGAAGCTTGAGTCTGAAGCTGATAGGTGGTTTGTCTCTTCAAATGGCTTAGGAGGTCTCCCTAAAGCACTAAGCCTGCTACGCAGAGTTCCACCAACCTGCTGTTCAGAGTGTGGTGTCCAGGCATGCGGAACTCCTGGGTCAGTGGGAAAAGAGTTTGGGGCAGCGGTTGTCAACCTGTGGACCGTGACCCCTTTGGGGGTCAAACGACCCTTTCACAGGGGTTGTCTGATTCATAACAGTAGTAAAATTACAGTTATGAAGAAGAAAAAAAAAAAATGTTATGGTGGGGGGTGGTCACCACCACATGAGGAACTGTCTGAAAGGGTCGCAGCATTAGGAAGGGTGAAACCACTGGTTTAGGGTGTTCCTAAGGGGGCAGAGCACACTGCCTGCCCCCTTGCCCCAGCGGGTCTTGGGGTCCTTATGCTGTTGTCTTGTCCTCTCCTCTCAGGTTGTGGAGGCTACTTGCGTAAAGCCCAAGGAACATTTAGCAGCCCTTATTATCCAGGCCACTACCCACCCAATATGAACTGCACGTGGAACATCGAGGTAGGCGACTTGGGTTTTGTGTAGGAGAAGTGGTTCTCAGGAAGCCCAGGGAAAGGGGAGACTGGACTCGTTCAGAAAGCTGGGAGGCCCGTATCTGACCCTTCACATGTCGCCTAGGGTTCATTCACATGGTTTCTTCCAATCCCACAGACTCAAGACCAGATGCTAGCACCCCGACCAGTTATTGGCTCAGGGACCGTGGCCCTTTTGCTGGCCTCTGTGCTTCAGTGTGCTCACTGGTGAAATGCGGGGAGCAGTCCCTCTTTCTTGGAGGTGGTCTGGGGATCAGGTCTGAGAATGTGTAAGACGTGGTTCCTGGCCACCTGAGCTGAGAAGCTTTAGTCAAATGGCAGCTTGGAAAGATAGTCTTGCCAGTCGGACTGCACATCCCACCATCCCGATTAGAGACGGAACTTCCCTTTCCAGCCTCTTCTCGTAAAATAGTAGTGTGTCCTGCCCTAGATGCAGGGGTCTTAAACTCCTAACCGCAAACCTGTCTGTCCATGCCCCTTGATGCCCACATGGGCTCAGAGTGGAAGATGGGAAACGAGATCCGGAGGGACAGGTGCTGCTGTGCCCTCCCTGGCGCCGCCACGTCACACAGCCCTGGGGTCTAGGGGACGGGGAGAAGCAGCAGACTAGCCGCAGCCCTCTCTCCAGGTGCCCGGCAGCCAGTATGTGAAGGTGCGCTTCAAAATCTTCTACTTGGTGGAGCCCAACATGTCACCAGCCTCCTGCACCAAGGACTACGTAGAGGTCAACGGGGAGAAGTACGTGCCCTGTGGGAGTGGGGCAACCTGGCCACATCTTGATGGCATGTGTCCTGGGGATGGGGTGGGGGGTAAGCTCCTCCAAGCTCCTGGTCTCACCGCTGTGCCCTCCCACCAGGTACTGCGGAGAGAGGTCCCAGTTTGTCGTCACCAGCAATAGCAGCAAGATCACAGTCCGCTTCCACTCGGACCAGTCCTACACAGACACAGGGTTCCTGGCAGAGTACCTCTCTTATGACTCCAGTGACCGTGAGTGCACAGGGCGAGGCCTAGGGAACTACTGGGTAACTTTGGAACCATCGATCCACTCTGTATTTTGTGTATGTTGTGTTTTCTGGATACAGAGAACGTAAGATACACATCACTCCAATAGTTTTTTTATGAATGGCAGAGCAACCTGCCCATAGGGTTTTCTAGGATGTAAACATTTATGGGAGCAGTTCTCCAGGTCTTTTCTCCCATGAAGGAGATGAGACGGTTTGAACTGCCAACCTTTTGGTTCACAACCAAGAGCTTAGCCATTGTGCCACCACCAACACTGTAACGGCAGTGACAACAGG